CAAGCCTTTTCCTCCAGCACCACCTTTTGACGCCACTCTAGTGACCGTCCTGGTAATCCCACCAGTGGAGGTTTTAATGGTTTTTATCCTGACTTTAAGGGGCCGGGATGGAGCTCCAGGCGGTGCAGGTACAGCACTTGGAGCACTTTCCCCTCCATCAGTGGAGGAAGGTTTAGACTTGCCATCATCCACCTCCATATTCTCCTCACTGGTCCTCATATTTTCTCCCTTTTCTCCTTTGCCGTCCACAACCCTATCGATCCCGTTTCCCACTTCCATCTCCACCTCCTCCTCTTTAGGCACCCGCAGCTCTGAGGGAGGCGGAGTGGACGCCACAGCGGGACTGGAGCACGTCTTCCCTGGGACCTGAGCTGCTGAGTTTGGCATCTCTGGCTCAGGGCTCTCTGGCGAATCTCTCTCCTCTATAACATGTTCTGGATGTCTCTCCTCCACCTGTGGAGCCTCCGCTGAGCTGGGCTGTGGGACGGGTGCAGACGGAGTGTTCCCCGGTTTTGGTTGCGATGCAGTAGAGGATGCTGGCTGCGACGAAACTGAATCAGACTTGTATCGTCTGCTCATTTGAGCGCTAGCTGGAGAGTCTGGGTTTTCCTGGATAACAAGCGGACTCCCCAAATCTGGGTCTGAATCCTCCTCCTCCACCTGGTGCTGAAACCCCCCCGCCCCGCCTTTTGGGGCGCCGTTAAAAGGCTGCGATGAAGGTGCAGAAGGAGGAGCTGAAAGCAGAGGCTTGGGCGGTGGAAAGAACGGCAGGGAAAGTCCGGCGGCTAGAGGAGAAGACCCGGCGGAAACGGAGGAAGATGAAGGTAGTGAGGCTTTGACAGCGTCTGCTCTCTCCTCACCCGTATCCTGCTGCTGTTGGTGCTGCTGCTGCAGGAGCTGCATTTTCCTGGCCCGACCCACTGGATCTCCAGACCCCTGCGCCACCAGCGGTTTCAGTCTGTTGAAAATGTTTCCCCCCTGCTTGTGAGACTTGGCCGTACTGACACCGGCCGCTTCTGCGGAGGCTTTGGGAGTGTTCACAGACCAGGGACTGCCATTGGACTGATTCTGGCCGAGGGGGAGCGGCGTGGAGACACTGGATGCTCCGAAACCGTTGTGATTGAGGGCTTCAGATTCCGCACAAGCACCAAGTCGTGGACCCGCGTCCGCTCCTGCCATCATATCGATGGGGTGCTGGTCAGAGTCTCCGTCCCCACCATCTACGGCCTCGTGACGAACTTTGTTCTTTACAATCACACTCACGATGGAGGTGTCTGCCTGGCTGTCTGCGGGACTGGGCGGCCTCAGAGAGGACCCCACACCCACCACGCCTTCCTGCTTTCCCAAAGGTGCACCTGCAGCTCCGTGGGGTCCCTCAGCATCATCAGGAGCGGACTGTATGGCCTCTTTGGCATCTATGTCGGGGATATCAAACGCTGCCAAAAGGTCATCAAAATCTGGGGTCTTCATGTCCCCCATACCGGGATCCACTCCTGGACAATAAAAAAAAAAATACTGAACTGTTAGGATTCAGCTGCAAAGATGGAATCCCAACATATAATTAAAGCACAAAAGCTGTCAAAGAACTTCAGTTCAACACTTAGAATCTAATTACTTAGCTCTATATTAATGTCATGATTTGCATTTAGTCACTTAAGGGATCAGTACAAGGAATTTACTTAATGATGTTTTTTCTTAACCCCTGACCTGCCGATTCTGCTTCACAGCATTTTTGTTTTTAACAAGGACTTTAAAACAAAAGTGAATAATGCATCAGACTGCATCTTACCAACATAAATCAAATTTTAACTCCTTTCAAACCAGAAGGCAACATTCAGTTGGTTGATTTATTTACACATCAAGCAAAAGGTTTTTGGTTTTAATTAATTAAATCAAAAGAAATAAAATAATTTTTTTCCCTTTATTTTATCTGCCAATCAGGGTAAAAAAAAAAAGGTACATTCTGATCAATGTCTCTTTACCACATAAAAATGGTTGAATTAAAGCAACAGAGCCAAAAACTAGGAGGTACAAGATCATCCTCATCTGTGCATCCAAGCATATGTCCTTAACCTTTATCTGGTTTCTCTACTAGCCTCCAAACAAAGTGCTGCCAACATGCTGCCGCTTTACACGCTTAGAGACTAAACAATCAGTCTTAATGCTTTCCATTAAAAGGAATAAAACTGATCTTTCTCAATTGAGTGACCAAACTCACTTTTCCCTTTGGCAGGTTTTTGCAAAATTTGATTTTGGTCAATCCTGCTAACAGTTAAATACTGAAGGGTTTAGTAAATGTAAACATTGAATAAAATTATTAGTAGTAACAACTGCTTTCTAATCATTTTAAAAAGCTTCCAGCCCTCTCTGACACTTTTAGCATATTTGGCATAATCATAATCTGTGCCACATATGGGAAACCCCTGCATTGATACTCTACTCTACATGCTCAATATTCATTCCCATGCAAATTGTGGAATAAAACAACCAACAAACAATGCATTTCCAACAGTCCTTTAGCGTATTCATACTTCATAAATCAGCATTGGGATGTATTGTGTGGCCCTTTTACAGAAGAAATAACAGGATGGATCTGTGCATGTGTGGTGCAGATTCAGTTAAACGGTATGCTCATAAAAATAAAACAGAACCACTCATAGGGAAATTAAAACATGTAAGAGAGGATAACTTTTATGTCTTATGTTCTCTCTCTGTCGAGAACATTTTGGATGTGGTTTCCAAAGCTTCCCCAACCTCATGATTGTGGTTAGTAGAGGGTAATGTGAGTTCTGTGGCTTAACCAACAGTGTTCCTAATTTCTGTTTAATGCAGATCATAGTTTGGCTCCTTCACTGCTGAGACATATGCAAAACCTCTGTAACAAACAGGGGATGTAAAACCCGGATATACCCCATTTAGCATGGATAAACATCTTAGTTTGTTTACTAAATCTATTCAGCTGTGTAATGATTCATTTGCAGTAATATTATGGGGTAATCACTTCTGTATGTGATTATTCTGGATTACTTATTTTATATTACTCTGCTAGGAAATTCAATGCAATAACATACATTTACTTGATGCTTTAAGATACACGTTTTAAATAAACAAGGATAAAATAGTAAAGCTTGGGAGGAGAAATCCTGATATGTTGACAATGAATCTGAGCTGTGTGGCTACACGAGTGCTACACATTAAATGTCTTCAAAGATGTCGGTTACCGGTAAAATGTATCAAGGGTGCGTATTTATTACACATTAATTGCCAAGCTCCAGGGAAGATGAGGCAGGTTGGATGGGTGTTTCGGTCTCCGGCACCAGCATCGACTTAGCCGGCTAGGATGGAGCAGCTAGCGGCGACGTTTCAGCAAACCAACCCCTTCTCCGATGACAGGTTCGGCTCTTTTAACCATGAATGGAGTAACACCGGTTTAATAATGCTTTTACTACCATTCAATGGTTTTAGGCGGTGGACGTTTGCGGGTCGGTTTGTTGCTAAATAGCGTTTCTGTGGCCGCGAGCTCCGTTATTTTAAGCTAACGATATTCCCTTCCGTCTGAGGCTGCTGGCCGCTGAGCTCCAGCCAAGACGGAGAGGAGAGGGGTCATCGAGCTAACGAGCTAGCCTCGGCCGTTAAAAGCAACAGGAGCGGTCCGCTGGCTTCGGCTCTGACAGCGGTCACAGTCTAATGTTCGAGGGCTCGATGGTGACGGAGAAAATGATGGCTGTGATGGGGATTTTACTTTAATATTTGATGTATTTTGGATTGTTTACCTGGATGTGCGATTCCCGACTATCCTAGCTCGTTTTCAGCAGAATATGCTGCGCTTCTAACAAGGTGCCGCCAGCGACGGAGCCGGGTCTGTGTGCCGATTCTTTTTTGGTTCACGATAAGGACCGTGACATAAAAGCTTCCAACCACCTCTTTTCTGTAAAAATTAAATGTATTTAGAATTTCATTTTCGTCACTACTTTGTTGTATTGTGTTGTAAACCTTTCGTTCCATTTGAAAATGAGTTAGTGTGGAGATTCTGCTTTGGGGTTATTATCACCATCATACTGTACCTACGATTCACCAGAAGATGTTTGAAGGAAATCTGAGATTATTATATAAAAATTAAGGCTGAATCTGAATTGGGTTCTGCAATTTGACAGTGACTGAATAAAATTTGATATTAGAAGGCAGTGTGTCCCATCTTTTTTACTTTAAATGCAGTGTTTGTGTGTACATGAGTAAAATAAGAGTGTTAACTTTTACCTTCCAGATTAAAACTAAAAGATCCCAAATCAACATGTAAACATTACAAAGAGCTGAGCATTAGGATGTCCAATTTTTCATTACTATCAGTTAACATGTTATATAAAAGATGAGGTAAAACTACATGTGGAATGTAATATATTTCATGGGAGAAAAAAAAAGTGTTTTAGGGAAGAACCCCTTTTCAAACCAGGGTCGAAAGACTCGAATCACGAAGTAGCGCCGCAATTTCCATCACTACTTGCTTCCCGTCACGTGACCACGCGCATCCCAATGAGTCGCGATACCGCTGGAAAAATTACAAGGATGTTGCCAACGACATTAAATTTGTGTTTGGTTGTTTTACATTTTATAAACTGTTAAAATACGAGACTGCAATCTTTTAACTACAAAGATTGTCTGCTGAGATTTATTTCATCTATTGTTCTTTTATTTCTGGTGCTAGGAATGATTCTTTGAAAGGAGGTATGGAAAAAGATGACGTTTACATCTGGCTTTTATTGCAAAAAATAAAACCCCAAAACAAACAGAAAAAAATCAAAACCACACATAAATAGACATCGCAAGAGAATAACTGTTTTGTCTACAGCTGCTCATTTATTCTTTTAACAAATTATTTATACCATGAAAATAAAATGCAGGCTGAAGTGTTTTAGAATAACTGACCCTACTATTTTTTTTACTTTATAAATGTGTATATCTAGAGAATTCTTTCGGACAAATCAGACTCTTAATTGTGATTCTTTTATTTATTTATTATGTACTGAAGAAGTCAAAGTGCTGCCATGCAGAGTGGTGCATCAGCAATCACGTATGTAAAGAAATCCTATAATTGTTCGTTTCTCTTTTGTTTTGATGTCTCATTTCTTCTTCTCTTCATCCTTTTTGCCATCTTGCTTGTTTCCTGTCTGGGATGCCAGGGAGCCCATTGCGTTGCGGATGGCCTCATTGTTGGGATCGACCCCGGGCAGGTTCTCCAAGACACTCTGAAGGAACTCTGGGTCTTGCATTACATCATAGTCATCTTCCTCCTTTTAAAGGAAAAATGTACATATAGGCTTAATTTAAAAGGCTTCAGCACTTATTGATTTTAAACTGATTTAAAATATCAGTTCCAGATATACCTTATTTACCCATTGAGTGACACTTAAAAAACTCATTCATGGATTACTTTCTATTGTTTCTGATTTTTTTGCTTTTTCACCCTATAAATCAGACTAGAACAGCTGAATACATTAAGGATTCTGCACAGAGTTTGACAAAAAAATACACACAATAGTTTTGTAATAACTATGGGTATTTTAAGAGTAGTCATGTTTTAAACATGGAACATGCAAAAACTTGACAGGCATGGAGCAGAAGGATGGATAGATTATTTAAAGTGACACTGTAACTTTTAGCCACAAGGGGCGCTAGACCTATGACTTTTTTAGGTTTGGCACCCCCAAAAGCAACTGGCAACACAGCACTGTCGGAAAATGAAACGGTCTCATTTCATGTTTTATCCTTAGATTGAGAAGTCAGGGATTTACTTGTAAAGACAAGGCAACATTGAGTGCTATAGATTAAACGCTACTCCACAGAGTAGGATTTGATCTGTCTGATCAACTACCGGTAAGTATGATGTCTATTTGTTGCCTAACTTATAGCTTACTGGTGCTTCTGTTTAAGGGAAGCTCCGACTGCTGAAAAACGCCGTCTAGGTCACATGACCAATTCAATGATGGACCTGGTCTTCTCAAGTTACATATTGTGATAAGCTGATATTTGGATTAAAAGGTATGCAGAGTTGATTTAAGGAATGAAAGGATGGACATGAAACTGTGTTTATTAATGGCTGGGTGGGTGAGAATAGATGATATCGGATGAAATATGATGAATGGGCTAGTAATGCATGCATCGACAGATGGAGGAATTGCTTCAATTACTGGAAAAATGGACAGAGTAACAGATTACTTGGTGAGTAGATAAAATATAGAAGGAAGATGGACAAATTGATAAATTAAAAAATAAATTTAGATACAAGGAATACAAGGAAAAAACTTTGGAAAGTATTTTTTCATTCTATATTTTTCTAAACAATTATATGGATCCAAAAAAAAAAAAAAAAACAGACCCCAATTCAGTACTTCTACAGATTTGTTAGGCATCTGCTGCTGTGTTTCTACATTTACTATTCTTTGGAAATCAACCTCCTAGAATAGACTCAGGAAAAACTCATAACAAGGAAAACTCAGCAGCTAAAAGTCTTTGCCTTTTATAAGGATGATGATTCCTTGCAAATTTGTAGCCACAATCGCAGAAAAGTCTAAATACAAGTCCTTGTACCAAAACAAACTACGTAGAGGCTGTGAAAGACTGACCTTGGCTGATTCGGCAGTGTCCATAGCAGCTCCTGTGTCCATTTCACTATACTCTGTTCACAAGGAAACAATTATTCAACATGATAATAAGTGTGTGAAGAACTCATTTGTAAACAAGAATAAACCCCACCTCCTCCAGCTAAAGACATCTGCATGGCATAGGCTATCTGTTCCTCTTCCGTCATGCTGCTGATATCAGGAATCACTGCAGTGCCGCTCTCAGGCTGAGAAACAGACATCTTCAACAAGGCTTCCTCCGACTCTGTTAAAACAATGACAAATAAATTTTTTTTGCTGAGAATCTACTTGTTGGCTGTTTTAGCAAATATTGGTAATATGTGGATGCTACCATCTGCGCTGGGTGTGGGCACGCCTGCCTCGGCAGCAGAAGCAGCAGCAGCTCTGCGGGCCTCCTCCTCCTGCCTCTGTCGTTGTTCCTCCATTGAAACGCGTAGGGCCTAAAGCCATTCACAAATAGAGCACAATGAAGAATCATTTAAAAAAAAAAAAAATATATATATATATATATATAAAGCTTTAGGTCTAAGGAAAACATAAGTAGAACAATGGAGGAATCTACAAGAAAGCTGTAGCATTTTGTTCCTCACAGATTGCACTCCTTCATAATACTTTATGAGTTATTACATGCATACACTCTAAATGAAATAGCATGTGTTACTGCTTACCAAGGCCAACTCTGGATCAGCACTGGGGTCAACTCCGAACTCAAAGTCGCTGGCGCCCAGCCCCATCATAGAGCCTCCCTCTCCGGCGAGGATAGGGGAGGACAGCAGGGCATCAGCCAGACTGGGTCCAGGAGGCACTGTGACCAAGTGGGAACCTGTTCCCTCCTTTCCATTTAAAGTGTTAATGAATGCAGTCAGCTTCTCTGTGTTCGCCTCCTGAATAAGTAGGTGGACGCATAACATTGTCAGAAAAGCGAAATCCCATACTTTTTCAACGATTCGATTTAATCATGGTACTTTTGTAGCATTCTGAACATTTAAAACAAATCATTTGCCTTAACACCTCTATGTTCCCAAAATAAGGGCTTTAGTGCTTTGGTAATTTTAAAATCAGACCCAGTTTAAAAAGAAAAAAAAAAAACAATTCAGGCCAAGTTCAACATCTAAAATGAAATTGTCCTGTGAAGGTCCAAATCAGTCTGTAGATCAACCATCAAATTGCTGATGGGTAAAAACTGCTTTAGTATAAAGGCATACTAAATCCATAATGTTTAAGAAAAACAAAAACACATCTTTCTACACTTATCCACCAAATAGAACATGTGAAAGGTCTATTTTGTAATGTGTAGGAACCCAGAAACTAAGAACCCTTCCCCTTCATAACAAAAAGTGATAATGAAAAAAACTCATCACCTCTTCACCAAAGTTGATGATATCCACATTCACTTTCTCCTTTTTCAAGCGCTTTGCCATCTTAACAAGCTATAAGACATGGTGGAACAGAGAAGAGGGAAAAAAAACATACAGGATTCAGTGGAAACAGCAATACCCCTGGGAAAAGATCTGGCCGAGCATCAAAAAACACTCACATCTTTCTCGTTGTCTTCCACGGGACTCCCAACAAAGGCAATAATCCTCATTTTGTGGTTTTTTCCTTGTCTGTGTTTTAAAGCCAGCTGAATAAGAGAGACAAATACATGGCTGCTCAACAAGTACTGCTGACAATCTATTTGAGCAAATATAAAACAATAGAAGAAAAAAGTACTATCATACAGAAGTATACAAACTTAAATACCAAAAATAGCACAACTGCTAAAATTGAGTATGAATGGGTTAAAAACTTAAAGGGTCAAACCCCACTTCTCTCCTCAACACAAAAGTTGTTTTAAAAGTCTCTAGAATACAGCTTCCTACCAATTAGTGTGGCATAGATGTACCTCAGTAAATGTATAACTCAATATTAAAAACAAGATTCTAGAAAGTCGTCTTTGTAGAGTTATTATTTCTCACATAGTATATATCAGTCAAGCATGAATACGCCCCTGTATGGTGAGTCATATTCCATGTATTAAGAGAAGACTTTTTGAGATTTTTTTCATCAACTTCGTGCAGGAGTTTTCAAATAACATGTTATATTAGAGAAATAAAAGCATTTATAAAAAATAATGTAATTACATGATCATGGTACTTAATAAAAGATTAAAATAAAAAATGTTGGAAAAACTGTAAATCATATACCCATCTTACTTTTGTTTACATTTCATCACTTATGTGTACATTTGATCACCATGTTTACATTTTATCACTGCTGCACTTTAGAAACGGAAATGTCTTTAGAGCTGTACTGCATGAAATTTTGTTTTGTATCCAGTCTGTGTGTACAAAATGAAAACAACGTTTTTCAAAGTCCAAGTCTAAAAAAAAAAAAAAAAGGTTGTATTTTTGATTTTAGACGTCCTCATTTATTATGTCTAAAAGAAGAAAACTTTGATGTGTAGTTCCTCAATTTGTACATTTTTTTATTTTTTTTCGGAGCCCGTTTAGAATTAAAATTATATTTGAAAGTAATGAAACCCGTGAATAAATAAATATGACTTAACAAAAATAAAGCCTCAATGCAGCATGATTTATGATGAAAATAAAAAAAAAAAGCCTCAGAGGAATAGAGAAATGATAAAAAGAAAAATGAGGTGAACTTTCCAAGAAGAGCTCCATTAGGTCTGGAGTGTTTGTCTGTTATGTCTGCATACATATTCATAATGTTTGCAGTTTTTTGTTGCGTTTGATCTATTTTTATCACTGTTTAAGATATAAAATGGTAAAAAGCTTTACCTTTAATGCTATTCAAACTGGGTAAATGCATAGAAACATGAACTCCCAGAAAACTGTAAAAGTGCTGAAAGCTAAAGTTTCTTCAAATCACGATTAAAACGATTTGTGTACAGTGGCCATTGATTGTGCTATCCAAACATCATTGGTTTGAGCTTGTAATACAGTTTCCTTTTATTTAGTTTTTAATCATTTTCTTTCTCATTTGATTGTAATCATTTAAAAACTATATCTTTATATTACTTTTCCCCATGTACATCACTCTGAGTAATTCTTAATGCCATATCAAACATCTTAGTTGCAGAGATGAGTTACAAATATTGTAATTCTAAAAGAGGTCACTCCAATTGACAGAAGGTGAACAAATTGTTCTTTAATCAGTCTTAACATTTTTTCCATAGTTTGTGTATAATGTATACACTCTGACTTAAAAGGGAAAACAAAAGTAAAATGGCCACACAATTGAGAATAAAATGCTGCTCTGTGTTTTAAGAACATATATTCTTTACACCCACAGATATTTTTTCTCAGTTCAAATCATTGATCAGCTTACGTGGGCCACTCTGATGCCTGTACAGAATGAGATCTTTCCTTTGGGTTGGACAGCGTGCAGCTTGGACAGGATGCGGCCAGAGTCTGGTGTCAGCGTGGTAAGGACCTCACAGTTACTGCATAACAAAAGAAGCACAAACAATCAGCCATCCTTTAGACCCAGGAAGATTATATAAATTCATTAAAAAAAAATAAAATAAAATAAAAAAAAAATGTTGTAAGTATGCACAAATGTGAAATGGCAAGAAGAAAGCCTCTTTTATAATAAATAAAGTATGTGAATTATTTTCCAAATAGATCAGGGATAATTGTAAAACAAATGCATATATCATACAGATCTTACAAATATTTGAATTTATTACAAATATTTTTAGAACAGAATGAATAAAGTGCTGATTGAGTTTTTTCTAAAATATACTCATCCAGACCTTTAAAATGTCTTCAATTATAGGCTTGAAGTAGACAAGAAAAATAATAAAAGTAAAGTTAAAAATGAACAAGTCAGAGTCTAATAACAGCTGCATCCAGCACATTTTCAGAAGTAAAACTTCTAAACCATTGTAGTGCTAAATCCCAATACCGCTTAATTAGTTGATGTTAAGCAGGACTAGGGACCAAAAATAGTTTGTAGTGCCTCAGTGCCAGTTCCTCTGTAGAATAAACCTTGGCTGATATGTATCCATGTCTTATCTTACAGATGAGAAGTTTTGAAAGACAACTCACCTTAAAAACAATATTCAACATTATGTGAAAAAAATATTGAACTAAAACCCTTAAAAATTGTTTGAGACAAAGAATAGTTATTGAGAAGTAAGCATTAATTCTCACTTATTTCACAACATGTGCATTAAGGTTTGTTCTGGTGACAAAATAAATTGCTCTTTGCAGTGTCACGTGAATGTATCATCTTGTTCTGCTAGTTTCATTATACATGTTGATGTAGGTTATCATTTAACTAAGTTTGTGTTTTTGGTTTACACAATAATAATGTAGAAATATCACAGATAAAATTATCTTATCAACTCTGAAAGATAAATAAATCTAACCTCAATTATTAGCTATTAAACACAAATAGAATCTAAAGGACAGTAGAAAAAAAAAATAGGCTAAACTCTACTATTCGGGATAAATAAAAAACAGAGAAATCATGAGTTAGTGCAACGTAGAAAAAGCTTACTTTGCCATAGTTATAAGTCCAACGTTGTTCTCTGGGTTGCTGCGTGTTTTGGAGTGACAAACAATGTTGACAGCATCCTGCTGAGCCTGCAGTCTGGTGGGCAGAAAGTCTCCATTTCTCATGTACTCGCTGTTGTCCACACTGAAGGAAGAGACCTTAAAATGAGGTTGGTCTCACAAGTTTAAACGCTGGTTAATTTACATAAAATATAACCGAACCTGACAAAACGGTTACTTTCCTGACACTCACTCCCTTCCCCTGCCAGCCCTCTGAAAATCAGTTTTCTTAACCAATAATACCACTGTTGCAAAAATAAAAACCAAGTACAACTAGCTAGAATCACTTAGCAGTGGATAACACAGATATTGTGTCAATTTAAACAACAATATCCACTTTATAGTAATAATCACAACATAAACGCTTAATAAAAAGAGCTAGAATTAGGTACGATATATGAAAGAGCTTATAACTTATTAAAATTACAGTTATTGTAAGCTAACTCTAGCTAACATGACTCAGCCACTCAGCGCTGCTTTAGCTTCATTAAACATTATTTATCGGCTTTACCGAAGCGACATTCGTTCTGTTTTTACTCTTATTAGTCGAGCAATAACTAAACATATTTAATTATAAACAAGGAATGTTTAGAAACTATTTAAATTTTATTTTTAGAGTTCTTACCAAACCATAGTACTTTCGAGCACCATTTTGGAAACTTCTTGTTGCTCTGTGGCACAGCTTAAAAATACTCTATCCTATTGGACAGTTCCTGAGTAAGAAAAGCCGTGATTGGTTTGGATATGTGACGTTATGAACACGTAACCACCCGGAGAACTGAATTGCGCCGTGGGTTGAGTTAACTGTAATTACGATCGAAAGAATCATTTTAGACCAGTTTCCAGCTAATGAAACTCCTTTACAGACTCAAACATTACACCATCTATAATTTAAATTACATTAAATTACCTTAAATTTAATAAACATCTACCGTAGGATATTTTTCATTATTAAATAACCACCGTAACTTTTCAACTTCAGCCCCTAATAAAAATCGCTTAGAGGTACAATTGCATTACCATGTTTGAAATTAGTTAATAATAAAAAAATAAATAAAATAAATTATATATATATA